ACCTCCCCCAGAGGATGAGGAGGGTACAGTCCAAAGTAAGCACAAACTTACCTAAGGTTAATGCCTATTGGTACGGCATTAAAATAAACACTAGGTTCCCCATCTNGGACACATAGACGCGTTGAGCGAGGATAGCTGTATACTGAAAATCCACAGTAGCTATAATGAGGGGACAATTCGAGAATGCAGTACGCATAGAACCGACCCCCAACCCGTACCCGAGCCCCCCCTGAAAAATAGAGGCCATGCGCCCCCCGCCCTCTCTACCTCCCCCAGAGGATGAGGAGGGTGGGCGGTGGAGGACTTAGAGCTAAGACACCCCGAAACTATCCGGCGTGAGATCCAAAATGGATCGGACGGTAGAGGGGGGGGGGGGGTTCGTTGCTTGAAGTGGATCGATAAAACATAGAGCCATCAAAGCAAAGCTTATTACTCACGTCGAGCAAGCTGAACGACCGGACCAACCACGCAAAAACTGCGGAGCTAGATGTGCGGCACGCACAATGCATTGTTTTCGATTGGAGAGAGGCGAGTATAAAGCAGTAAGGAATTGTTGGCCAAACTTTCGGCAGATAGGTCTACTCGGGAGCGTAAGTGGGGTAGCAACCCATGGTGGAGCGTACATGAGAAGCTGGACGTTGGTGTACGCCCCATCCCGGCGTGTGAGTAGGATCTTAGGCTATGCAAGTCGTCCCTGAACTTATTGTGGTGAAAATGACCTCCCAGGAGGAAAGTAGCCTGTACCGCGGGACTTCGGAGATGATAAATTGGGTGGTCGGGGGCCGTCTGGGTGTTTACTAAGCCGAGCGCCCGGTACAAGACTGGGGTACTTGTGCCGGGAGGTGTGAACTTGGATCTAGACTACGAGCCTATGTTGGAGGCGCTATTTAGCGTCGGTGAGCCGGCAAAAGAACTGAAAGGAACCACAACCCCCGCCGGACACTCGGATTGGGAAGGCCGAGTATTCCGTATACCTTCCTGAAAAAACACGAAAAACAAGTGGCCACGGTCCAGTTGCCGTAGAGATCATGAGGATGGTGAAGAAGCTTGGAGGATGGAAGCAGAAACTGTGGAAGGGAGACAAGTTGGAGCTGCTGCTGTTTGGGATTCCAAGGGACATGACGAGGATAGAGTTCAAGAACTGTTGTGACAGGGAGGGACTGCACTGCCTAGCAAGGGGACAAGTAGGCAGAGAACATGAACACTTCCGGGTGAAATTGACCAAGGGAGACAGCCAAGAGTGCTTGGGGGTTGACATCGAGAAGCTGTCGAACTACGTAAGGAAGTTTGGATGGAGGGTTTGCATCGCGAACATGACAGAAGCAGAGAAGGTAAGGAGACAAGAGGGGAGGGCGACGGAGGCGAAGAAGGGACCGGGCGGGGGAGGCGAGCAGGCAAGTCAGAAGAACGCCGAGAAGAGGCGGAAGGCGAACGATAGAGTGCGCAA